AACTTTGTCCAGTAACTTTGTCCAGTAACTTTGTCCAGTAACTTTGTGGTGTTTTTTGTCCAGTAACTTTGTCTAGTAACTTTGTCCAGTAACTTTGTCCAGTAACTTTGTCCAGTAACTTTGTCCAGTAACTTTGTGGTGTTTTTTTCTCGCAGGCCGGGGCAGTCGCGATTCAGAGAGATGTGGCTCAAGGACATCATTGAGAGTAAGGTCAAGGTCATCAACAGAGTGACTTTTTAGGTCCGACGTGCCTGTTTACTATTCACGATTGCATGGTGTACCTCCTCTTTTGTGTGTGTGTGTGTGTGTGTGTGTGTGTGTGTGTGTGTGTGTGTGTGTGAGAGAGAGAGAGAGAGAGAGAGAGAGAGAGAGAGGGGTAGGTAAAGCTGTACTGTAAGGGATGGGAGAATCAAAGAGATTGAGAATGATAGAAAGAATGAAACAGGAAAGGAGATGAATGACAGAAGTGAAATAGAAGCTCGGTGTCTACTTGAAATGTACAAAGTGGGAGGAATTTTAACAAATCAAAATTCTGGGAAATGTGAGCCTGCGATGGAGAGGGATGGATGTTTTCCCGTTTATTGAATGGATCCGTGTGTGAAGGAATAACGTGTGGCTACTGGGTCTGTTGCGTTGATTCTATCAAATGTTCCACGAAGGTTCTCAAGGGGAAATAGTGGACTTGTAAGTGCTGCCCAAGTGTGTACTTTTGGAAAGTGTGGCTTACTTTGTGGCATTCACCTCCAGCTGGCATTTGTGACAATTTGATACATGTATCTTCAACACCTTGAGAAAATTAAAAGAAAAACGCTGAACTTGTCGTGTTCTTGTTTTACTTTCTTTGACTGGGATTTGTTCGTAAAATCTGGCGTCAAAGTAGGAGGCATTATCTTCTTCTTTGTCTGCGTCTGTTAGTTACTGTTACACACACCATCTGACATCTGACAGTTTATCTTGTGTTACAACATCTGACTGACATACGATGTGTTTATCTTGTGTTACAACAACTGACTGACATACGATGTGTTTATCTTGTGTCACAACATCTGACATATGATGTGTTTATCTTGTGTTACAACATCTGACATATGATGTGTTTATCTTGTGTTACAACATCTGACATATGATGTGTTTATCTTGTGTTACAACATCTGACAGTTTATCTTGTGTTACAACATCTGACAGTTTATCTTGAGTTACAACATGTGACATACGATGTGTTTATCTTGTGTTACAACAACTGACATATGATGTGTTTATCTTGTGTTACAACATGTGACATACGATGTGTTTATATTGTGTTACAACATGTGACAGTTTATCTTGTGTTACAACATCTGACAGTTTATCTTGTGTTACAACAACTGACATATGATGTGTTTATCTTGTGTTACAACATCTGACTGACATATGATGTGTTTATCTTGTGTTACAACATGTGACAGTTTATCTTGTGTTACAACATCTGACTGACATATGACGTGTTTATCTTGTGTTACAACATGTGACATACAAGGAGGTATTGTGTATGTGGGGGTGAAGGTATTGTGTGTGGGTGTGTGTGGGTGAAGGTATTGTGTGAGTGTGTGTGTGCGTGTGTGTGGGTGGGTGTGTGTGGGGGTGGGTGGGTGGTGCATGGTGGGAGGTGGGTGGGTGGTGTGCG